GACAATAGTAATGCAGTGACTACTTACCACAAGTAATCAAGAGCCGGACATTCGCATATGTGGTCCATCCTTTATGGGCCGTCGTGTGTTCTTTAAGGGCCTTCAAATACATGTTTTTTGGGGGCCATAACAATTTACCTTCCTTTAGACTGAACCAGCTGGCAAGAACTGTTGCAGCTCCGCCATTTGGAAAAAGTACAACGGCCCAAAGCACCACCTCCCTTTCCATTCTGTATACAATAAAGGAAATAATGTAAATGATTAAAAAAAAAACCTGCTCATAAATCATAAGATGTCATTTACTCGCCCAGCAGTATGAGCGGTATGCTACTGCATATGAGCTATTGGAATAGCTATGAGGCCATTTCCTTCTGACTCTGGATACAGAACACATTTACGTTTGATACATCCAAGTTTACCAACCCCGATATTGTCACACAACTCTCTAACCTTGTATGTACCTATGCATGAGGACTCGCAGGGATAAGTGTAATATGATTCTTGGTGTCTGAACCTTTTGTAGATCACATATACCTCATCTTCTTCCTGGACTATATTCTGCACTACTGCAATACTATGTCCCACCTCAATACAATTATCCCCCTGCTTTGTAGACAAGGTAAAACGACTACTGGAGACCTTTGTGTACTGTACAGCAACACCGAAATGTTGAGGGAGTGGACCATCAGTGTGGATTTTCTGTAAGACTGGTTCATCTGTTGGTAATGGAACCTCACAACGTGGCTGTTCTGACAACCTTTTGACCACCTGTTGTAGAGGTTGGTGTGGCTTGCGTAAAAGATGCTTTATTTGGCCAAGATAATTCTCAAAAGGGAATCCTGAAACATTATCTAAAGGTCCAAATTGTTTGTATTCATCGGCTAAATGTATAAGCTGGTGTACACTGAACACAATCTGATCCCTGCCATACAACTGTCCAAAGTGTTCCACAAAGGAAATCATCAATCTATGCGCTAATTCAACCTTTTGGCCAGAAATTCCAGGAGACAAAAACAAATACATGGCCACTGAAAACAACATAAAGTTGTCATAAATCTCACTGGGAAGGCAATCCTTCAGAACTACAGGGCCCCAGTACAGTATGAAGGATCGGAGCTCTGTAGCTTTCCAACGATCCAGCTCATTCAAACCCCTTGGCTTGCGATTGAATTCACAAGGGGTGTGGGAATGTAACCCCAGCAGTTTGCTTGATATACTGTTAACAGTTTGTGAAGGAAGCCTAGTGGCTAGATTGCCCTTTAACCACATATTCAACAGTTTTCTCATCACACCAAGACAACAGAGGTGCATATAATCTATTGGGAATGAAGAAACCATCTTTACTGTCCCTGTTAAAGGACTGAGTGTCTGTTTCAAGTGATGTTCTTCATCAATCATATCACAATAACTTGAGTCTGTCCTGAGCCTGACATTTGTTTCAGGATAAGTCATTTTCTTCCTCCACACACCATGTTGATCACACTTGTCACACCCTGAATAGCCATTATGTGACTTGATATTCTTAACGTAGGCTCTGGCTGGAGCATCACACACAAATGAGGAAACCAGTACTTTCAATCGGTTACCATTATGAACAACGCCATTAGCCAGTACATTTTTAAGGTCGCTAATAAATTGCTGCAGATACTCAACAACACACTTGGGCTTGCTTAAAGCACAAAAGATACCGACAATAAATGGGGACTTAGTATAATCACATTTCAGAATTGCAAGTATAGGCCAGAATTGAAGTCTTGAACTCTTAAAGAGAGGGAGACCATCTATGTTGAACTGTAAAGTAAGAGTTCTGAGGCTCACTGGTAAACTCAAACATTTCAATCGTGAAAGTATCCCTTGCACCAATCCAAAATGGTAGTACTCGCCACCTTGCATTTGAGTGGTTGCAACATCATGTTGTGTTCTAAGCAGAGTTCTTCCATCCTTAGGGAGCATAGGGTGAAAAAGCTTTAAGATGGACAGCAGAGCAGACAAAGCAACCAGATTGATTGAGTAGGATGTTGCCCAATATCTTAGGCTCCTCATAAGCAGATCCTGACTAAGCTGATGCTCGTCATGGCTGTCGGAGTCAGAATCTGATTCAACATTCCCAGCCACACTACCATCAGTATGATCATTTCCCATTTGTACATGATCTGATTCAACGTCATCATCTCCAGCTAAACTACCATCAGTATGATCATTTTCCATGTGTACATGGGAAGCTAGTGGTGTATCTAGTTGGGAAACGTGTGAGATTCTGAAGGGTGGTTCCCTATTCACACAGGGGTCTAAATGTGACTTGTTATTATAAAGAGTTTCCTCGTATTCCTTAAGGATATCTTTCTCCATGTCCCTTACAGTTCTGATGACTCTACGTCTTTTAGACCAATAAGAAGCCATCTTAGGTAAAGAGAGGTGGCACTGCTATAATTACTTTACTTGGCCTTGTGTATTGCAGTGATCCCCTTGACTCGTCTTGTAGTATAATCCTGAAAATGGAGGAAAACAAAGCAGATTAAAAATCAGTATGCATAAACTAACAGTACAAATATATATCAGCCTCCTGGTGCAATGCAAATATAACTGTACTGACGAAATTCCCTAGAATTACACGTTTTATTCCATGGGTCTTCAACCAGGAGTCCAGGACCCCTAGGACATACATTTTACCCAAATATCCTATATGATGCTTTAGCTTGACTGTATCAGACCAACTTTGATGTAATTTCTGTAGGATGTAGGGATGCCAGAAACTGACCATGATCAAAATCGGCGGGGTCGGTGTGTAGCAAGCTGCAGCAGCAGTCTGCGCAGGGCAGCCTGTGCTGCAGGCTTCCTCCAAGTTTTACAGTCAAAACTGGTGTTGTGACCAATGGCCATTTACAATTATTAATACTATTACTATTATTAGTCTATATTTTGGTTGAAACTAAGCCAGAAAAAAAACAAAAAAACATAAATAATAAAAAAATATATAAATAAAATCGAATTTTAAAAATAATCTTCGATTATGGAGACTGTAACGAATAATAGATTAATCGTTGGCATCCCTAGTAGGATGGTAGTTTAATGTCAGATTGTGTTAGCTAGTGTATCTGCTGCGTTAGCTAGGTGCTAGCCAGGGCAAGAAAATATCAACTGCGTCATGCGATGAACTGTTTAATTAATTTATGATATAGGCTATATTATAACTAAAAATATGCACAATTTCACCCAAATATCCTAAATAATGCTTTAGCTTGACTGCATCAGTGGACACTTTATGTAATTTCTGTAGGATGGTAGAGTTTAATGTCAGATTATGTTAGCTAGCGCTGCGTTAGCTAGGTGCTAGTCAGGGCAATAAAATATCAACTGCGTCATGGGATGAACGACGTTAAATTCGTTGATGATATATATTATTATAAGTAATTAGTTCCCACTTTTGCGCTCTGAATAGCCTAAAAAAACATAACAGGGTGTAACTGAGGTGAACATATAGAGTAGGCATGCACAACGGTCACGTTACATTTCTTACCGATTTGTGATATCTGTCTCTTCTCTTCAGGCGGCTTGGCGGCAACTGAACTGCCTGCCTTCCTCCACACCCTGAGGTGTACGCTCTTTCACGTGACCAACGTGCTTTCAAGATTAAGTGCAACGTGCAACGTGCAACAGGCATGACGGGTAATCTGTGACGTTTCGCTCTCTCAAAACTTGGGCCATTTTGTCTTCATGCACAGCAGCTCTCATAGGAAAGAACCAGACCCCGCCTCCGACGCTGGATCATGATCTCGCCCGAGAGGGGATAGCGCCACACGTTGAAACAATGTCAATTCAATGTAGGGAATTTCAACGTTGAAAAACCGGCATCTATATTACATTGATTCAACAACATTTTTTCAAACGTTGAAATGGTATTTGTAAAAACACATCGAATCAACATTGATTTTTCAACCTCAACCAAAAATAACCAATCTAACCAAAATCCAATGTTGAATTAATATCTTTTGCTATCTGGGAGGTCTTCTTTTAAATAAGAAAAAAGCTTTGGGGGTATCTACAGATAAATATTAAGCCTGACAAAGTACTTAAAGTCTAATATTAATAAGTTACGTGCATTGCGGCTAAAACATCCAATCACCACTCGGTGATTCAACCATAGCTGACATTCTTGGGTAATCAGTTCAGTGGGTGTGTATCGCCTACGTCTGTTTCCGGTGACTTTATTTTGAAATTCAGTTCCTGACGCAAAAAAACCCGATATTATAGAATTAAACAAATAAATAAAAACAAGGATAATAGTGTGTTATTGTTGAGTAAATAACAGTGTGTTATTTAGAAAATAACAGACTGCGTGATATAAACAAACAGCAAATAGCATGTGTGTTCCATTTTCACTCTACAGCGAGAAGCTCATGGGGCTTTCCCGAACCTGTGTCGAGAGCTGGAGTTAAATGCAATCTCAGATTTGCCTTCTTAATAGTTTGTTTGGGTCGCTCACTTCCGTTTAGCTTCTCAGGCACTGATTCGCTAAGCTGAACAGACATCTATCGACGCCGAAAATCGGCTTGTTGTGTAAGGAGCTTTAGGTGAAAATCTTCCAACAATTTATTTTTGTGCAAATTACCTTTTTGATTAATTGCTGAGGGATAGTGATTATACTTCAGCACCCCTCTCAGAATAAAGTGTTAACTGTACACTATATATACCTCACAATCTACAAACTCCTGAGAAGAATACCCACTTAAGTCTTCCTTACATTTTGTTTCCAATTACAGCTTCTTTTTTTCTTTTTTTCAACCCACCCAATCTTTGGTTTTAAGCACCATTTTAACCACTTTTCGAGCACATCCAAGAAGCATATATCAACTTAGTCTGCCAGTGTTGCAGTTGAGAGATTCACAAAGAGAAGTCTCTATACTGTAGGTGTTAATGTGGGTTTGACATTGACATTGAAAAGTATATTTTCAATCAGTTCCCTCTTTGTCCAGTTAATTGCACTCCTTTTATATTTCTAGGTAACTCAGAGGGGGCCTGAGTGGAAGTCCTGGGATCATTTTCAACATTGTTTTTTCCCTCTACTTGATTATTTAAAAGCAAGATGAATGATGGGTCACTAAAGGTGAGTGACAAAAGGAAAAACTAAGGTCAAAGACTTGTAACAAGCAAACTCCCAGCGTCTCCTCTGTAGTATGTATTGATAGCTCAGCCTGTCAACCTGTTAGTTCCAGTCATGTTACTCACAACTGGGCTGGCTTTAATTAGAAGTTAATGGTCTATATGAAGGGCAAAAACATGGCAAAATGACATCATTTTAATCTAATGAACATAACCTGCGATCAAAAATCACTTTGGGTGTAAAAAGCCAGCGGCTAGCAGATATGACTAACAACGTGAGCTCCAGAATGGACACCCCGACCAACATCTCTCTGAGTCCCAGCGCCGCCGTCTCTGACTCGCTGGAGTACAAGGCTGTGTCAGTGTTCCTAGTCCTTGTGGTTTGTGGTGCGGGCATCGTGGGAAACATCATGGTGGTCCTCGTGGTCCTAACCACCCGTCACATGAGGACACCCACCAACTGTTACCTGGTCAGCCTGGCCATAGCGGACCTGACGGTGCTGGTGGTGGCGGGGCTGCCCAACGTGTCCGACAGTCTCACGGGAACGTGGATATTTGGCCACGCCGGCTGCCTGGGCATCACCTACCTGCAGTACCTGGGCATAAACGTGTCCTCCTGCTCCATCACCGCCTTCACCCTGGAGAGGTGAGCATAGATAACTTCTCTCTGTACAGCTTCGGCTGGACATTCATTTTTTTAGTTGTTATTGGCATTGATTTTACTTTCACGGAAAAATTACTTGTCTTTTAAATTGCATAGGCTGCGTTGGACAAGTGTTTAAACTTAAGCTCTATATGTGAACGAGTCAGAATGTCCTCTGATGGCACGTCTTGTTTTTCTTAAAAATAGGAACCACTGACATCACATCGATGACAGTCAATGTGCAATCTATGGTGCTCAATTCTTATTTGCACAATTTGGTAATGTGCTGTTCAAAAAACATTTCAATGTCTTCGCTAAATAAAGTGGTTATAGAGTTTCCCTTATCTTTGTAGTAGTTATTGAGCCACAATCTAACCAAACATTATGTCAGCTACACATAGAGAAACACAACCCACCACAGAAACCTCCTGCAAATACATTCAACAGAACAAGTACAGTAAAAGTCATGAAGTCAATTATACTAAATTAGACCTAAAGTTTCGGAATGTTTTGGCCCGTCATAAACTGTTATATTAACATAAATGCTGAAGCAGCACAAGGTACATCATAGAGAGAGAGAGAAATATGTGCATCTTGTTCTGTCTATCTCGATCATCACCTAAAATATATATAAAATGTAATGTAGTAATGTAATCTAATATCTCAACCATTAAAAACAGCTAATAAGCTATGAAACAATAAAAGAGTCAATGATAAGCAGTGGCCTTCTTCACATATATATGTATGAAAAACCTGATGATCTCTCCATATCTTAATGACAACTGCTTGGATGAATGATTGAACACCCAGGAAAACTCTCACACACAGCCTCAGGCCTATAAACCAAGAAGCTATTATAACGTTTAGCAAGAGAGGAGGCGCTGCTCACTGCTCTGCTGCACGTTTTTAGACAAAAAAAAAGTTTAGAGTTAATTTAGGCCTTGTAACTGATTCACCAGCACTTACTATGGTATGATCTGGCTTGAAGTGAATATATCTGCACTAATTGTAAGAAGCTTTGGATATAACCTAAATTATATGTACTGTAATGTAATGTAGACAACTTAAAACCAGTAAACACAGTGTTATCTACTACCAACAGATGTTCAGGGTTAACATATTAACAGCCATGGTTGTGTTTGAACCTTCCATGTTTTTGCATGCAGGTACATAGCTATCTGCCATCCCATGAAGGCTCAGACCGTGTGCACAGTGTCCCGGGCCAAGCGGATCATCGCAGGCCTGTGGTTCTTCACCTGCGTCTACTGCATGCTGTGGTTTTTCCTGGTGGACATTCAGGTATAAATAAATGTATATACTGCATTTTGCATTCCTTTTTGTGTGCAAGAGGGTTTTGGGTTTGAGCCCACTGGCTGGCTGGGCGTGTATAGTCTGCATGTTCTCCTGGTGTTAGCATGGGGACTTCTCCGGGGGGGCCAACTTCCTCTCACAGTCCAAAGACATGCAGGTTAGAGAAATGTTGATTCTACATTTTGTTTGAATGTGCTCTTGAATGGTTGTCTGTCTCATCTGTCAACCTGGGTGTAACCCGTGTCTCGCCCAACGTCAGCCCCCCCAACCCTGTAAAGAGCAGCTACAGATAATGAATGAGAGGTTAACCTGCAGCAGATTGATCAACAACTATTCGAAAACTAGGCATTTGATAAAAAAAAAAAAAATCTTAGTGTAAACATACAGTACATAATGTGTAAGGTGCAAATGTACATTTATGTGTATTTATTTATTTTTTATATATGATTTATTTTTTCAATTTTCAATACACAAAGAGAGCAGCAATACAATGCATTACCCCTGCGATTTCTAACAAAACAACCCCAAGACACAATACATCAGTTACAATTAGACAATAATGTAATAATGAAATAAAAAATAAAAATAATAATAATAATTAAAAAAAATACAATATATATATATATATATATATATATATATATATATATATAAAAATAAATAAATAAAAACCTGCAAGACATTTTGTGAGCATTCCTGTGAGCTGTTGCGGTCCAGGGGGGCGACTCAGCCAATGGGGACAGACTCCAACTGGAGGGACTCAACATGTTCTAAGAAGGGTAGCCATATTTTTGTGAACTTTAAGTCTGAGCCCCTAATACAGTGTTTAATTTTTTCCAATTTCACAAAGTATAGGGCATCCTTTATCCAATTTGTATGAGAGGGGGGACGAGGACCCTTCCAATGCATCAAAATAATGCGCCTAGCCAGCAATGTGAGGAAAGCTACAAGTTCAGCTAAATAAGATGGCAGTAAATGGTCAACGGGTAACACACCAAACAGGCCAATTAAGGGTGAGGGATGGATGGTAACAGACGTGATAGCTGAGAGTGAGTCAAAGACAGACTTCCAAAACAGAGATAGGGTGGGGCAAGTCCAAAACATGTGGGCGAGATTAGCTGGTCCTAGGTGACATTTATCACAGTTAGGATCAGTACCAGGATAGATGCGAGCTAGTTTACTTTTGGACCAGTGCACTCTATGGACCACTTTACATTGTAAAACCCCGTGGCGGGCACAAATGGATGATGTGTGGACACGTTTTAAAATAGACTGCCAAACCTCAGTCCCTATCTCTATATTGAGGTCCTCTGACCAATTAGTTCGAAAGTTATCAGAGGGCAGAGGGTGGCATGTGAAAAGAGTATTTATAGCTTTGAAATGGTACCCTTGAGGTTAGGGTTAATACTTAAGATAGTGTCAACCCAGGTAGAAGGAGTGTAGAGGAAACTTCTGTGTAGCTATGCACTGGGAGTCACCGACTCAGGAAGGAGACACGGGAAGAGCAGTAGCTTTGATGTCAAACACATGATGGTTTATTTGGAGTTAACGGCCGGAGGATTCACATCACAAGTCCAAGAGTCAGAGGTTCTGACTTCACGGTAGAGTTGCCACGTCAATTCTGGAGAGCCTCTCTCTTGCCAGCCCATCTAACTGGTTTCGCAGAGAGTAAACAACATATTTGAGAAGATAGCCTAAACAGTGTGGGAACACTGAGCTACTTGCCTCGGACACCTATGACCTCGAAGATTTCACCTTGGAGTCCACAAATACAGAGAAGGAAGTGTCCCAGTGTACCCACAACACAGACCATCTGTGACCCAGTATTGACCGGTCACAGAATGGGAACAATAACATTATTGGCTAAGCAGCCTGTGTCCTTAAAGAAGGTAAACAGACATCAAGGTTTGTCCTGTATGTCACATCTTGGCGTCTATGACAATTATTTCCATAACAAGGAGGAATAGCAGGGAAACTTGGAAAACGATTACGAATAAAATCTTGGACTTGTAAATATCTGAAGAAGTGGGACTTAGGTAGATTGAATTTACGGGCCAGCTGATCAAAAGATGCAAATGTTCCATCAACAGCTTTAACACGTCGGGGCTGTAGTCATCATACAAGCGGATCTTATGGCCTTTGTAGTTCAGCTCACCCTGCCTGCGGGCTTCACGGATCACTAGGTCCTTAATTTGGAAGCGGTGGAAGCGCAGGATTACAGGTCTCGGTCTCCCTCCTGGGGCAGGCTTGGGCGCGAGGCTCCGGTGAGCTCGGTCAAGCTCGGGGGGCGAAGCAAGAATCTCCGTGCCGAGGGTATCAATGAGGAGTTGAGAGAAGAAGGCAGACGGACGGGCACCTTCGATAGATTCAGGTAGGCCAATAATCCGAAGATTTTGGTGTCTGCTGCGTCCCTCCAAATCTGCTACCTTAGTTTTGAGTGTCTCGTTGTCCCCCTTCAGAGCGGAGCATGCGTTCTCAAGTTGCTGGAGACGTTGGTCGACTTCATTAGCATTAGCTTCCAGAGAATGTATACGCTGCCCGTCTGTGATGGTGGAGTGTATGCTGTCCAGGGTAGATGTCAGAGACTCGAATGAGGATTTGAAATCGACTCCACTTCGAGCAATAGAACTATTAACAAAGCACTTATGTACTAATAAAGGACTGGCTTATCTAAAGCCAGTTGAGTAGCACTTGAAATGTTTTTGCTCTATGAAGCCTGAAGTACTTATATGATTCTGTTTTCTTCAAGTTTGTATTTTGTTGGTCGAACGCACTTATTGTACGTCGCTTTGGATAAAAGCGTCAGCTAAATGCAATGTAATGTAAAATGTAATGTAAAAATCAGCCGTGAGAGCTGCTCTATGTCCATCCAGTAGCAAGCTAATGTCAGCCAAAGTTATGCTAGGAGTCGAAGCCGTAGTAATGCTCGGAGTCGGAGCTGGAGTTATGCTAGGAGTCGACGCTGACGGAGACCCTTTGCCCTTTTCAGCTTGTTTTCCCTTTGCTTTCGACATTGCCGGAGGTCTTTGCAGTTAACAATGGCTTATAAAGCCGTTGCAAACAAATTATGTTGAAAAAAGACGAGGTTTAAAAGGTAAATAAGAGTGGGACAGTTAGAGCCAACCGAGCACGCGTCTATTCACCACACCCCATACCGGAAGTCTATGTGTATTTATTGTAATACTTTAATATTGATACATTGCTATGGGAGGCTATATAGGTAAATGATGTCCTCCACAGGGACTGCAAAGTAAGTCCTTACATGAGTCATGAACAAATTTTTTCTGATAAACAATTGTTCATATTGCGGTTCAACTGTCAAACTTTTGTAAGACTTCTGTAGAATTTCTGAGAGTAGTGTCATTGTGTTGAGATGTGTAAGATGTGTATGACCTGGACGCCTGTTTTAACCCAGCGTCTCTACCATGTATGACATCAGGTGAACCAGGACGGACATGTGCAGTGCGGCTACAAAGTCAAACGGGAGCTCTACCTGCCCATATACCTCATTGACTTCGCCATTTTCTACGTCATACCGCTGCTCCTCGCCATCGTGCTGTATGGCTTGATAGCACGGATCCTCTACCTCAGGTACTGTTCACACCATATCATACATGTTCGTTAATTCATTCAGACCCTCCACCAATTTTAAACATGTAAAGTATCAGTTTATTCATCGTGAGAAGTAATGCCCAGCCTGTGAAAGAGTGGAAGAAAATCTTCTGTGGATCTTGAGGAGCCTTGTCTGCGAGAATAACCCTGATGATGTCATTCGTTGTTTTGCGTTTGTTTTCTCTCAGCCTGGCCTTGGAGTTAAACATTAACACAACTAACCTAATATAATACTATTATGTGACATTTTTTGACATTTAGTTAGAGTCACTGTTTCAGTTTTTTCAGTGCAGGCAGAGTCACAATGCAATAATCTTTCCAGCTTCATTATGGAAAACATGGGCTCCAGTGGTTTCAGAGGTTCACCCATACCAGCCCCCATTTCAAATGTTAGCAGTTAGCACTAATATGGGTTAGAAGACACCTGCTTCACCTTCTACTGAATTCAGTAGGGTAAAGAGTATATAAAACATTATCTAAAGTAGTTTTTGTTTCAAATCAGCTCCTCCTTTTTTTTTTACAGGATTTCAAGACCCATACATAAACCCTACAGCACATAGAAGCAGACCAGATGTAACATGCTGCTTGTCCCCCCAGCCCGCTGTCCACCCACCCTGACAACAGCGCCACCAGCCTGCGCCGCAGCTGCCGGGACACCTCTGAAGCTGGGAGGAAGGCGGGTCGCCAGAGCCGGCCAAAGAGCGCCCTCTCCTCCAGGAAACAGGTATCTGCCCCATCCCACATTCAACCCCTTCTGCACTGTCATTTCTTGCTTACATCTTGTGTTATATACCAAGTGATTGCTGTGCGATAGCTTTAATAATAATAATAATGCATTTTATTTATATAGCGCTTTTCACAACTCAAAGACGTCACATTTGTCACATTTGAAGTCACATTTGGCCCCGGTCACGTCTTTGGCTGTGTGTGTGATCTGCTGGGACAACCAAGTCCCACGGCATTTCGTATTATAGTCACGACATTTAATCTATTGATTCGTGTTCACCAACACGATTTTTTGGCGTCCGTCAAGAACTGAATTTCAAAATAAAAATAACCGGAAACAGACGTAGGCCTATAAGGGACATTTCGAGCATCATTGCAATACACAGCCACTGAACTGATTACCCAAGATCCTCAGCTATGGTTTAAGCTCGCTGATTGGATGTTTTAGCCGCAATGCATGTATGGTGTTAATGCCATGTCAAATCCGAAAAACATTTCTGAGTTTAGGATGGCCGAAGACACTACACTACCCATAATCCCCAGCTATAATTAGGACTACTGTCCCCGTGATTAATCTTCAAGTTCTGGGATTGGATGTTGGAGTGGCAGTGCGCCAAGGTTACGCTGAGCGTCAGACAGCTGTTTGAAATGGAACGAAACCACGCCAGACTATCCAAAACTGGAATCGAACGCCCTCCCCAGAACTACACATGCTGGCTATTGTGTTTCGCAAAATGTTCTATGGGACGTCTCTACTGAACGTTTTCGTTTTTCCCACAATTAGAAGTTGCCAGTATTAAACACATTGGTGTTATCAAATGTAAAACATATAATTAATAAATGGGTGAAAATCGCTTGTGTCCATAATGCGCAGCATTAATACCCACATGACAGCTCATTGTTACTTTGTAATTCTACTCCACTACAATTCAGAGGTTAACCTGGTATTTTTACTCCACTACATTTATTTGAGTTACTTTGCAGATTCTGATTAATGATGTGAAATATAAACAACCCTTAAAGCAGACTTTAGTTACAGTAAAATTCAGGTAAGGTGATTGTCAAGTGCCAACAATCAGGAGAGATATTTGATAGTTGGTGCTTGAGAAGACTAAACATGTATCTGCAATTGACATGAATGGAAACGAGTAATAAAGTATATTCATTACTCGTTATTCTCTACTAATAGTTCATTAAAGACTGTATATTATGGCTATTTTGCACATCCCTTTCAAGATTTCAAGATTTTCAAAGGTTTATTGACATATCATATACACAACTATGGTGTAGTTATGCAATTAATGAAAAACTTGGGTCACAGGTTCCTCAACAGTGCATTACAAGACATCTATCAATATGTGTGTACCTCCACCATTAAACTGTCATATTCTGCACATTTCTTATTCTATCTACATACATAAGAGTATAATTCATATGTATAATATCAGTTAAAATAAATGCTTCAACATAGTTAACAGGAAAGCAATATATTAGATGTTAAGTACTTTGTCAGGCTTAATATTTATCTTTTGATAGATACCCCCAATGCTTTTTTCTTATTTAAAAGAAGACCTTAATCTAAAGTATTATTTAATGTTTAAATAAAGGTTATTTCGTTTGTCTGTTTTGCACCTCCTCCTATTAACATCTTTGTACATTCTGCACTAAACTGTTTTATTGTAGAGATCACTTATAGTATCTTCTTGATTTTTTATATTTTATATTTCTATCATTGACCTTCTACTTTCCCCCTATGAAAGTATGTACTCTTAATATTTTTTTAATCAAATATAACAGATAAAAACAATAATTCATTAACGTGCTTTAACCACTAGGCGGTGCACACAAGGTACACACAGCCATAATAACTTTGTATTATTAGTGTAGGACACTTATGTATGTACAACATCTGAAGATGTGTAGTTTTATTCATGCTTTCACATCATTTTACAGCATATTGCTATATTATTTCAGACTCAGTATTTACATTCTTATATTCAAAGAAAATCAGTCCTTTTATATCAGCTGTGCACCGTTATGGTGTAAATATAACCTATCTATGAATTAGATCAAATATAAAAGTCAGACGTATTATGTGAAGAGAAATTGAAGATGTTGTTTAATTGTTGATATATTTATGATCCACGTCAAGTAATTCAGTTTCGGCGGCATTTCTTCAGTTTTTCCAAAGGTCTTCTCATCAGGGCTCTATAAATAAAGAACTACGGCAGATCTGTAATATGTAATGCAGCCGAACCGTGTATTACAATGCCGTTATGTGATGACTTTCAAAGAGAAAAGCAAGAACACTCGGAATTAAGTATTATTTTCTTTAAAAAAAAAAGTTTTTCGGATTTGATATGGCATGAACACCATATCCCTACATGCATTGCGGCTAAAACATCCAATTAGCGAGCTTAAACCATAGCTGAGAATCTTGGGTAATCAGTTCAGTGGCTGTGTCTCGCAATGATGCTACGTCTGTTTCCGGTTATTTTTATTTTGAAATTCAGTTCCTGACGGACGCCAAAAAAGCCAGAGATTATGGAATTAAACAAATAAATAAAAACAAGGATAATTGTGTGTTATTGGTGAGTAAATAACAGTGTGTTATTTAGAAAAGAATAACAAATTAGAAGGAAAAAAAGATTTCAGTATTCTGAGGCTCTGAGCCCCATTTCTTTTCCTCACAGACGGCAAAAAAAGTCCGACATTATAGGATTTAAAATAAAAACAATAATCGTGGCTTGATATTGAGTAAGAACATGTTTTTATGAACCCCACAGCTTCCGGTCTTCCAAGACCCGAACGGACAAAAAGACGTGCTGCAGGCACGAAACATACTACCAATAGAAATACATTGCTTTTAAAATCATTCTGTGTGACACGAAAAAAAGGGTAAAATGGTGTTGGTGAACACGAATCAATAGATTACATGTCGTGACTATAACATGAAATGCCGTGAGACTGGGTTGGCTGAGAATATAGAGGCAGCGATTCTGTCTTCACAGCATGGTGATGATGTCCCTGCTATCCTTTGCCTCAGAACAGTGGCCTCTCTGCACCTCACTGTTAGGAGGCCCTGAAGGCAATCGGCAGTAATGGCTTCTTTTCCTCTGAGCAGTCAAAGAGCCTTTTACAGAGAAAGCCCTCTGTGAAACAGAAACATGGTGCTGCTGCAAAACATTCCCTCAAGCTGTGTGCTCATAAAAGCATCTGCCTTTGGAAGCCTTTATCCACTCTGAAGGGTTACAACAAAGTTTGTCTCTGTCGAGGAAGGGCTAGTTTGTGTTCGCATTTTGTTCTTTCAAAAGTTGAATGGGAATTAAGAAGCCATTGTACAGAGATCTGTGTTCGCTACTAAAGCAACCAAAGTTTCTGTCTCTGAATGTACATTTTTGTATTTAACTATATATATATACTGTATTTATGTATATATATTAGGGCTGTCAGTCGATTAAAATATTTAATCGCGATTAATCGCAAATTAATCGCACATTTTTGATCTGTTCTAAATGTACCTTAGAGGAATATCTTTCAAGTTTTTAATACTCTTATCAACATATGAGTGGACAAATATGCTTTATGCTAATGTTTATTATCATTTGAACAATGACAAATATTCTCATGAATATTAAACACAACAACCTCTGAACATTACAAATATTCGCCTCAATTCAACCTGGAACCTCTCTCATTCAATAATACAATACAAATGGTGTGTGTGTGCGCGCGCGTGTGTGTGTGTGTGTGTGCGTTGGAGCTATGTGCAACTCAAGGCTCGAACGGGAGCTGCCTGGACGCTGCAATCATGTTGCGCGCACTATCCGTGCTGAGTGTGCTGACTTTTCGTACAATGTCCCACTGTCTGGCTGCCTGCATAAAGTCAAGTGCTCGGCGCAGTTGTGGCGAAATGTCGCTCCTCTGTTTTCATTTAAACATCTCCTTAGATCCGTTAGCGCAGCTAGCTAGCACCAGATGCTAACAACAACAATGCACGTAAGGTCTCTCTCTCGCTCGCTCGGGCCACACATACCCTCCCGGTCCTCCCAACAGCCAGTCGGTGCCTGCCGGTGAGCGTGGAAGTGTGGTCTGCCACAAGCAGGCAGCAGGAGCGGGGCTGTCAGCATCAGCTTGTAGATGGTATTTTAAAGTCGATGCGCTCTGAAACTACGGGGCGGCCGAGGAAAAAAAATACACATGCGTTAATCGCGTTAAAATAATTAGCGTTATTAACGCGTTAACTTGACAGCCCTAATATATATTATACTCAAACATCTTAAAATAAGTTCTTTCAACTAGCCTTTTTTCTTCTAATGTTATTACATGGAAGACAAAAGAAGGTGTTAGCATTACCAAGGTACACCATTAAGCTTCAAATGAAGTCCTTGTCTGATTGTTTTTCAGCAGCTGATTATTGTTCAATCAACAATGCAGTTTCCTGTCTCCCTCTCTTCTGGTGGCAGAGTCATGTTCCTACAGGTTATCTGCCTGGTTCACCTTGAAGGGCCGCCATGACCTTTTGAATCGACTTTTAAAACACTGAGTAGACTTTTCTTTTTTAATGTGGGATTTTATGTTTGCCAGAAGTTGCAGAATACGTTTGACAGAAATCTTTGTCCAGTTCTGAATTAGTGTCAGCAGGATTAAAAAAAAAAAAAGTATGGTGGTAGTTTTTCTTCTGTGATTTCATTGTCCCCACAGGGAAAGAAAATGTGTACATACCTTCATCTCGTCCAATATACAAAACCATTTACAGGGCACATTATACTCAACATGCACAGAATTTGACAGACCATAACACCATAGATAAATAATTACATGCTGTCTTGGTTTTTCACCCAGTTTTCTCTTTTTGGATAAAAGTTGAATAAAATCTTCCTCCATCTTAATCTGAAAACATCCAGCATCTGCCCCATTTTGTTTATCTGGAGACATCTGAGAAAATGTACATTTAAAACAGGAGAGACTTATTTTGGCTTAAAGAATATTTATTTC